AACAAAACAGACTAATTTGAGCCACTTGTGGAAAACTCCGTGGCCTAGGTGAGATTCGAACGCATTCCAGCAAGGGGAAGGTTTTAGTACTGCCTCAACTCCCTATTAAGTAAGTGTATCCGGTAGTCGTTTGGTGGTTTCAAGATTGATTGCCCCTTGGCTTTGTTCCCTTCGTGGCCGACCGCTGGCGGACTCACGTGACCTCTGTACCTTGCGCAGTTGACTTAGTGGCTGCGGATTCGGTGCGACCGCGGGCGAGTCCGAGGCTCAGCAGGTGGGGCGCACCAATAGTTCCCCAGGTCGCGTAAGTGATTATTTGAAAAATTTGGCGGATAACCATATAGCCAATAAGAATGCAGGAAGGACGACCAACAGACTAGCAGGCTTTTCAACGTTTTCACATATTGTATTTATTATCATATTATTTTAGATTGTTTTTTTAAATTATTTAAAAAAGGAAATGGTGGTTAGGAGATCGCCTACTTCAAATTACCTGTGGTCCAACTTACCGGTCTGGAGTTAGTTTAGTATAGTCCGCGGCGCAATGTGCCGCGCACACCTTCAATTTACATGCGCAATAACTTCAAAACAAATAAAAACAGGAAAACGCCCGCCAATATATTGGACGGTCATACGACACGTTCATTGGTTAAAATTCTCCGCCACGTTTGTGCAAATAGGGTCTCTCTTAGTTCGCACCTAGGTATTTACCGATCAGAGATTAGTCAACAACTGGCCGACCGGTCATTACAGTTTATCCTGTTTAACTGGATACTACCAAACGAATTATTTTACCGCCCCGAAAATTTGCCTGAGACGCAAACCTCATCGAAGTTCCGAATCGCCACCGAATGCCAAACATACGCAAAGGAATGCAAATAGGTTCAAATGCATGCATCATTGAGTCAACTGCATCAAAACATCTAGGCATCTCAAGCCGGGAAGTGAGACCAAGGTCGGCGCAGCCCTCACACTAGGGCTCAGTCTCCGTCGTCTAGAGAATCGAATTTTCAGCACTCAGGGATGGCACTGGACTTGCAGAAACATAAGCTAACTTTATCTTACTAGCCTGTAAGGAAAAGGTGGCTGTCGGTAAGATGATTTACCGATGTTATCGCGGTGGACGCACTCTCGTTGCCTCCGTTCCAACTCCAAACGATCATAGTTGAGGCGTTTGAGACAAACTATCCCGTAGAGGAGGCTTGTTCTGTGCATAGCGTCCACCATCTTCAAGTGCGTACGCAGATCCCGCTTCGTCAGATGGTCCAGCATGCGCGCATCCACCAGACACTCCATGAAAGCCGGACGGTATTGGCCGAGGCCAAGACCGGGCAGCCAGACGTTGCCGATCCATTCGTGGTCCATCTCCCCAAAAGCCAACCGGCTAGCAATGTAAACAAAAACATGCATGAAAAGTACTGGAGACACTTCTATAAACCTAAAGGTAAATTCGATTGGAGCAAGGAAAATAAAACTTGAGATGAAGCTGGAGCCATTGCTTTCCCTTCGAACTCTATTTTCTGTGAGTCCCCTACCACAAAGGGAGACAAAAAGCTAAGGGCAATTAAGAGGAGACATTACCCAATCCAATACTCCGGTCGCTTGCACAGAACAGATTTCACACATTGCCTTAATGGCTATACCAGCAGGAAATCTGACGCAGGGTATCCCACCCAATAGCATAAATGTTCTTTTGCTATGCACGCCATCGCCGACAAAAGCTGAGATCAGCTATAGATAAACATATACTGGTTGTGTAATGAGAACAATATCTATCTCCAGTTGTCATCTAGACTCTGGGACAGGCCAAGAGTGTACTTTCCCGCTCGTGAAATAATTTATCGAACTGGGAGCAATACAGTCGTGAGTTGATTCTAGATAAGAACTGCGATCGGGACTCGATCAACTGGCGTACCGAGCTCCCACCGGCCTACAAATCCCGCACCAGTGGTGCAGACATCCTGTAATTGTTACTTATTTTTCTGTCGAAGTAAACCTGGAACCTGTATGAATTCAAAAGCACGGAAAAATAAACACCCAACTTTGACAGTTGACTAACTTCTCCGCATTGCACTCAAACCCGCCTGTTTATGTTAGTTCATCGGAAGTACTATGAGGGTAAACTGACCAAAGGGACGTTAACAACCTTCGCCCTTTTAGCCTGAATAACTATTTGCCTGCAGATACTTCTTTCGTAGCCGAATTTCGATCTATCATGATAAAATTGCGGAATTTCGGATTGAGAGAAACTTCCGAACAATAGGTGAAAATAGTACTGCTTCAGTGTCCTCAGTCGGTAAAGCTCAGGTTGGACACCGAGGTAAGGGAGGATAAATTGACCGATAAATATTACCGCAAATGACGACCCAACATGGAATGGTCATTGTTACCTTGTTGTTCATAGGTCGTGTAACCTCCAATGTTTCTCCAACGTTTCAGCTCCAAGACACCAATTGAACCTAGGGTGCGTGAACTTCTGGGTCTGGAAATATCATTGGCTAATGACGGCAGAAATGCTCCTGGCAACGCCAACAGTGCATGTGTCAAAATATTTTACGGTTATCTATGATTAGGGTGTTCTCGACAGAATCCGAAACGTCAGGCAAATAAACTTCTTGCTCCAGCGATTGCGTCTTCTACTTCTGAACTACAGTATATTCTAAATATCGATTACTTACTAGCCAACTGTCTGTGAGGGCCACAGATTTAGAACTTAAAAGGAAGATGGAAGTGCTTATTTCTACTCTGCAATTCTGACAAAATGGTTGGCACGGCTCTCAGGTTACCTATTAGCCCGAATTGTGTATACGAAACCCAGAGGATATTGGAATAAGAATACTCGAGCCCCACTTTGTGCACATTTCCTTGTGTTAAATTCTAGGAAGAGCAAATACTCCCGTGTCTTAACTCTAACAGTGATCTTGACCCTAAGTCCGATGTTAATGCTTAGTGCAGCCTTAACCAAGACGCAAACTGCTCCAGAAGTTAGAACAATACCACCTCTCGGTCGGCAGCAAATTTTCTTTTTTTTGTTTTTCATAGGAATTTCGATTCTCGCTTCGCTGCTATTTGTTATCGACTAAGGCTGCTCAGGAGTACATGCCCCCCATCTTTATTTCCAACAATTTTAGGAAAATACGCTTTGCACTGCGCTATCTGACATCTCTGACGTCCAAACGGATTTATCTGTATGTTGCCCTCACCTCACGTCGGCCGCAGTTATGGAAACTGCGGTCCATTTTGCACGCTGCTGCGTTCGAATCAGGAAAAAGATTGACGCCTTCCGGTCCTTCAAGTGAACTTTCCCCTTTCAAGATGCCTATTAATTTCTTGTTCTTTCAGAAAAAGTGAAGCCTGTGATAGCTAAGCGCTCCCTCTTTACACACATGCCTTCCCATGTCACCTCTACATTTTTTCTCAGGCAGCAACGAATGGGAAATCTGACTAAAAGCGTTCAATATAGACAAAGGGCGCAACCGAGAGGCAGTTTTGCGGAAGCAGTAATCGTCCTGCCCCCCCCTCCCCTCCCCCCTTTTCATTGGGAGGCAAGAAAAGGACCGTTTTACAAAATAAAGCGCCTGAATCAGTTGCCCAAACTTTGTGTATAACTGAGCAAAAAAAGTGTCAAGCGCGCGCATTAGCCATTGCCCAAACTACGCGTCGATTAATACGAGAAGTGACAACCTGCCATAGCAATACGACCTTCATTTGTACCCCGAAAGGTTACTTTTCATGCCTATCCGGGCATCAGCCTGCTTATCAGATAGATGTGCGTCGCCCTTTAGCTAAAACACCAAAATGAGCGAGTACAAGCCCTAATCGGTGATTTTTCAGCATGTCAAGAGAAGGCAGTTTGGAAGAAACATAAACCGACTTTTATCTTGTGGCCCTTTGTAAATATTCTCACGAAAAGCAAACTGCCGGGAGTCATAACGAAAACCATGCATTTTAGTCATTCTACAAGTGATCCTCTTATCCTTTACGATAGCCCAGCTGCAAATAAGAAGGAACTTGAAGCATTGTTTTCCCAGAAGAAATTTGAACAGGGCGAAGATCACGAGAATAGCAGAATTTATTGACGTCATTCAATTTCGCGACCTCTTATTCAAATGCAAACAGTCATTGTATATTAATAAGCCAAATTAACTGCCCAATTAAGTATCGACATAAAAGGGTAAAACTTGATAGGTAAATCGAGTAGGAGCTGTTAGTCTTAGATGTGGGCGCAGAGTGAGGGGATAGAGCAAGGGTCGGAAACGTATGGCTCACGAGTCAGGTGTGGCCCATTTGATGATTGCGTCTGGCTCTCTCGGATAAAATTGGAACTAGAAACTTCAGTGAAGGACCCAGAAAGGTGACTATAATTCCGCTAGCTATAGTGAGGATGAAAACCTCGACGCTTGCACGAAGCTTAACCTCAT